GTTCATGTATGTTTTGTGTTTGTTGTAAAAATAAAAAAACATTTATAAAAAAAAAAAAGTTTTGAAGAATTCTGTGACAAAAGGCAAAGAAAAAAATGAAAAGGAATCAAGTTCTAGGAAAGAGAACTTTCCTTTTCTGTTAAAGTTTTCAAGGATTCTGTGAGAAGAGACAAAAGATGAAAAGAAATCGACTTCTAGGATATTATTTAAAGGGATTAAAGGCCAAGACTATTGGGAGTAAGGGGAAGGAATATAAAGTTGGTTTATTTAATCAAGGTTAAAATAGATGTGTTGCTATCTCTGATAATCATTAATGTTTTTTTGCTGACCAGTACTGAATGATGAGGTTTTAAGGCTTTGTTTAGACCAGAGATGAGATAGGGGAAGAAGAGCTGATTTTGTACTTTAAGTTTATTTGATTAAGGTTAAAATAGTTATGTGGTTATTTCTGGTAAGCCTTAATGGATTTTTATGGACTAAGATTGAATGACAAGGTTTTGGGGACGTCTTTATAGATAAAAGATGACATATAAAAGTAAAAGGAAAGATTATAAAGTGGGTTTATCGGATTAAGTTTAAAATAGGTATGTTGTTACTTCTGGGAACCCTTAATGAATTTTTGCTGATTGAATGATGAAGTTTTAAGATTTGTTTATAAATAAGGAGATGAGATATGGATGAAGAGATTGTTTCTAAGAGAAGGTGATGAGTTGTAAAAATTTTTTATACTTGTGACAAGGGGGAAGTTACTTTATAAATTTTTTTTTGCTTTGCTATACTTTTTTTCTTTTTCTTTTTTCTATATTTTCTTTTTTCTTTTCTTTTGCAATCTTTAATAAAATTATTATTAAAAAACCCACAAAGACCTAGCTCCCTGGAGAAGGCTAGGAAAGGTGGAAAAAAGAGGAGAGGATGACCAGCAGCAAGGTGGATGGCTTCAGTTGCAGTGGTGATGAGTGCACCATTGGAAGACCAGGCTGGGGAAAGATCATGGAGAAAATCTATGAATGTAATCACTAATAGTCAACACCTCTTCATGACACATAATCAATGTGTGTGCACGTTATTAAAAGGAAATCTGGTTCATCCCCTGTCCTAAATGTCTTATATTGAAGGAAATCAATAGCATGCCATGCTGAAGAAAATCAATGGTATATAAGATTTTGATATTAAAAAATTGTCTTTCAGTAATTCTGCATTCTACATTTTTAAAACATTTGGCTAAGAATTTTGTAGCCCTAACAATTTTCGCATGTCATATTTGAAATGAACCTACAAAACAAAATATTATATTTAAATCAAGGGTGGGCAACCATGACTCTAGGGCAACATGAAGTCTTTAGGCCAATTTTATAAGACATTTGTAAGGGATCAAGCGAGATCCTTGAAAAAAAAATCTACGTTTTCTCTGACAGTAATTCAGAGAAATTACTCTGAATATGGGTAGAAAAGATGTGCTGAGAAGAAAAGTAGATTTGGTGAGAATTAGTGTCCTTATCCACCTCTTGCTTCAGCCTTGTTTATCATTTCTAAGCAGCGTGGACCTCAATAGAAAAGATTGTGTTAAATCATGGTGTAGTATGATATAGCTTCATTTGATTATTAAGACTTAATTGCATCAAAAATGTTCCAAAATTATGGTACTGATCCTAGAAGGCCCTTAATGAAAGGAGGTTTAATATTACCTATTCTGCTTGTGAAAAGGTAAAATACTAAAAGTTCAAATCGTTGTGTGAAATCTCACTCTCTATCCTTAGCTATTGAACATGGCTCTGGAAGCCTTCTAGGGAAGATATCCCAGCCAATTGGAATGAGTCGTCGGGCATTCAGTTATGATGATGCCCTGGAGGATACAGCACCAATGACTCCTCCTCCTTCAAATATGACCTCCAATATCTTGTGGAAACAACCAGTCATTCCAGAACACAAATATGAAAAGCTTTCCCAGGTATGCAGTCTGTTGAGCAAATAAAGAGATAGTATGAGGTTTCTAGTGATATTTTCCTGTTGAGCAGGAGATGACAGTTTATTTCCTAACTAACAACTGAAATTAAGCATATTGAAGCATTTGATTAGAAGAGGTGATATATTTTTTAAAGCCATAAATCCTTAGAGGTAAACATCTTTTAAAAATGACACAGTTCTACACTGATAAGACTTGGTAAAATGTTTCTTATAAAAAGAATGAGAGACAACAGTGGAGAGGAGATATTATTCTTAGAGTACTTTGAGCAAAGGCATGTATTTAATTAAAACCTTTTCTATGAAAAAGTATATTCTGCACTGAGTATAAACTGCATGCTCTGAAGCTTATTTTGGAAATGTTAGGTTAAACTGAAGGAAACAGATAAAAACTACAAGCCCAGTTTACTCATTCTGTAAAGTCTTTATTACTGTTTTAATATAGAAGGAATTGATACTTATAACACAGACTGAAAATCTGAAATTCATAAATAAACTATACAGTGGTACCTCTACTTACGAACTTAATCCGTTCCGTGACTCTGATCGCAAGTCG